TCTGGTAAATTTTCAAAAAATAAAGCAGCGCAGAATATTTTTATCAAACAGAAATCAGATCGAGAATTGCAATTAACAATTTTTCATTTTCATTTTAATTTCATATAATTAAAAGAAAAGATATAGGTCAACTTTAAAGTCTTCAAGCAACCTATACCAAATAATTTTAACAAACATAAAATCCATCGAGAAGACAATTACAATTAAAAGTTTCCTCTCTTTTTTGTTGAATTTTTCCAATAATTTTTCATTTTAATTCAAAGGTAAGTTTTCACGATCTCCGCGCAGTTCCATTCAAAACTCCCATTGCAGCTCCACTTGAGAGGATGAGCATGGTCGACCATCGCTTGTATTTGTGCAGCAAGTGCTGCCGGCGCTGCCTGTGGAGCGAGCTGTCCGCCCAGGAGCATCGCTGCGCACGCTGCCGGCTGCCGTTGCAGGCGTGCGCGATCTGTGATCGCCGCTTCGAGCCGCGCGATCGCTCGGAGCTCTACTGCAAGCGCTGTGACTTCCATTTGGTCAAGCAGGTCTCGAATACGCCGCCGCCAGTGCTGGACCTGGATCTGGATACGGAATCGGAGCCGGAAACGGAAGATGAAGCGGTAACGGAACCGGAACCGGAACTAATTGAACCGCCACGCGATCGCTCGATGGCACAGCGCTGGAGGGACATCAAGTCGGCAGCGGGCATCAAAGATGATCCATGATTGCTCGAGTGATGTCCAGGCTAGGGTATTATTTCCTGTACCCCATTGTTCCGTGAAATGCTCCACAGAAATATACATATGTATATAGCACTGGTATGATCACACTGCAATCCCTGCTCCATTTGGGCAACTTACATGCGGTTGAGTGTGGGTGCATTAAGACCGCCAGCTCATTATAATCAGTTTGTAGCATCCAGATTGGGGTCACATTATTGGGACTGTGATGGGCTTCGATGGGTCGCCGCTTGTAACATCAAAAGGCTCTGCGCCCAGTACACAGTCCTTAAAATGGATTAAAATTTCATTTAAATTTGCATTTAAATGAGCGCAGCGCACTCAAAGTAAATGCCCTCACTTAAGCACAGGACAAAGGGCTGACCAGACCCAGACCCAGACCCAGACATCCAGACACTGAGACATGCAGACAGAACTCGAGAGTGCGATAGGTCCAGCTTGCCACATGGGCAACATTAAAAGCTCTTTGTTTTTTCTTTTGTTTTTTTCAGTGTATTCTTTTCTCTTTTCTTTTTGTTTTTTTTTTTTTTTACGCAACATTTCTACTGGCAGCTGCAGTTTCAGTTGATTACCTTTGGCAGCTGATAGGATAGGCGAGGCGTGGGCTTAAGCGAGCGATCTGCTACAGCTCCAGCTCCTGCTGCTCCTGCTGCTGCTGCATTTTAATGGGTATTACTTAAATATGTATATTTTACAATTAAATAAACGATTTTTATGCTCTTATGGCGCCCAGTTCCAATTTCAGCTGCTGTCCGGCCACCACTGGAATCCTCTCAGGTGG